AAAGGGAAGTAGTGAAAGAAAAGAAAACTTCAGTGCATCTTTACGTTTGTTTGAATTGAGCTCTTGCATTTGTAGCATTTGTTGCTGCGATAACTAGATGGATGCAGAATAAAGCTGCCTGTCTAGAGATCTGACAGGTTTCTGAACTGTGTGTATTGAATTGAGGGAGGTGTCAGAGATACCTTAGCCTGGAATTACTTCCAGTTGTCTTCAGTTCCCTGGAAAGAGAAGAGGAGATTTGCGCTCCAGCGGCCGAATGGGGGAATAGTGAATAATGATCAGCAGCCTCACCCCTCTTCTGGGTCTTCCTTTGCCTCTTTTATCCAGACAATTTATTCAGCTTTTCAGTTGGCTCCTTGGCAGGGTGCGCTTGGATTTTAAGCACGTTCGTGTGTAGGCTTTATATCATACACTGGCAAAATTTTACTGATGAAATTTATAGGGAAAGAAAAGGGAAAGTCATTATGGTTGATAGCTAAAGTTGAACAATATTTTAGTAAATTAAAAGAGTACTTATCCTGCAGGTGTGCTTACTGCTATTTTGCAGGAGAACCATGTAATTAACTGTGGTGCTTCAAACTTCTAAAAAAAATAGCAAAAATAGTTTAATAATGAGTAGTTTCCTTTCATGTTCCTACAGTTGGCTGCACAGATCATTGCTATGTACTCTGGAAGTGTTTACTTTATGCAAAGTAAATTAGAGCATAAAAGAACTTTGTAGTTACAACTGTTGTAACTGTCACAAGGTAATATGTAGATCATGATAGTCTTTCCTCCAAAACACTTTATCCTGTTACAGGCAAAATAAATTAATGAGTATGCAACATAGAAATATTATTCAATTGGAAAATATTATTTATTGAACATGTAAGACCTCTATGATGCTGTTTTTGATTGTTGGTGAAGAGGCATTTATTGTAAAGGGATTCCTCAGTAAGGCAAAGATTTGATCCAGTGTTCTAATGTGCAGTTAGAGAGGAAGACATTTTGCAAATATGTGGTGCTTTTCAATATGGAATGTGTGTAAAATGATGTAGTAAAAGCTTGTGATTTTAACTTTATAAGAGGTTCTTGAAATGTCCTGGTATAAAATACCTGCTGGCCTTTTCCACTTGCTTTCTGACATACTGTAAATGGGATATTTGAGCCAAATTTATTTAACTGTCGTAGAAATATAATTTCTACACTTCATTTTATTTCCTTTTATTGTTTATGGGCTTCCTGTTGCAATTTTAAAAGTTAGACCTTTAGGGATGGAGCATTCTCTTCTGTATATAAGGTTAAGGTATGATTTAGAAACTTCTTTTTTTTTTCAAATTTCAGAAAAATATTTTGAAAATAACTTCATAATGTGGACAGTTATGACTAGGGTCTGCTTCATTTTAAAGAAATCCAGAGGCGTACGATCAGCATAAATAGGTTGTTTTAAACTTTATTAGTCATTGCAGTTTACTGAAGTTCTTGTCCTTAAATAGTTTCAAAAAACATTTAAAGTTGCTTTTCAAGAGTTGGGTAGCAGGATAATGTGTCATCATTTGAAATTTGCAGGGTAGCTACATAGAATAGTCTCATTTTTTAACCAGCGCTGCGTCCTTGATGTGCTGCAGTCACAGCTGAAGTACCAGACCCTTCAGCCCCCCGGGGTGGGTGTAGGAACCTGCAGAGTTCAGTGTCCCAAAAGGGCCTTTGATCCCACTGTGATGGCTTATAAGCAATGTAGACATGTCCGAAATAGGAAGATTGGTAATTACGGGACTTAAAAGATACTCCTGTTCCTAAATAGCACAGCTTTTTACATCCTCGTTTTCAATTACGGATGAGCTTGGAGTCCTGTCCTGCCTGGACTGGGCTTGCTGGGGCATGAGGACATGTGATGAAGCGGATGTTTGTGTTCAACAGTCTTGTGCGCAGGTTCTTGTGCCCTGAACCGGGTATCCACACGGCTGATGGCACCTACAGGGGCACTTCCCTATAACAGCTGTACCTTATACGCTTCAAAACGTTGGAGTGGTCCCGTGGTGATAACGGGAATTGCCGTGCGTGTGGTGTGCTCTGAGCATTGAACTGATGGAAGAGATGCACACATGATGTTAAATGAGTTTGGAAAGATTTTAGGAACTTGTAGGTTTTATTTAATTACCACCCAGAAGACTTTCTAAAGACACATGCAATCATATGATCTTTCTAAGTCTACGCTTGTTGTTTTCATTAGTAACTGATGTGTACCGGTATTAGAAGTTTAAACTTAAGTCTGTATGGTAGGAGGCTCTTTAGACTTTCTGTCTCCCTCACACCACATGTTTTTCCTTTCCCCCCAGTAGGAGAAACTCTTCTCAGGATAACTGCCTGTGGTTTTGTACAGTAATGTCAGCAGCAGGATGAAAGAGAAGACCAGGGTTATCTGCTCTTCATCAATTTCAATCACCTGATGATGTGCTGCCACAAAAAATAATAGTGTGTAGGATTACAGAGGTGTTTGTCCTGGGTAATGCCTTTATGGCTCTCCTGAAAGGAGCACAGATGAAAAAAATGAGATTAGTGAGAGAAGCTGGGACAAATAATAATGCCACTTTTGCCTGGTCATAGTTAATGTTTTTGCTGAGTGCTGGAAAGAAGGTGAGATCTTTAAGGTATTTTATTTAACTGGGAAAGACCTATAGATTCCAGATATGTCTGAGAATAAATTAACTGTCAAGTATTGTTTACAGATGATTTCTAATTGAGAAAAAAAAATATCTTTACTTAGGAAAATATTTAAACACATCCTTATCTTTAATATTATTAAGTACAGTTTTGGACTGTGGCCAAAATAGATCTCTCAAATCAGTATACAGTCTGCTTGAATGGAGAACAGCCTACAAAGATGTGTTAAAAAAAAAAGATAATCTGGTAATTGTTTGCAGGATATTTTAGTCTTACTTTCTACTGAGTTGCTTACCTCCCTTTTTGAGGAGTCTGTTTTTTCAGTTAGAGTTTTGCATTTATGTATTATGTTACCGAGACAGTGAGATGGGGGAAATTGACTGAATTTCTATGGGTTATTAGATTCTACCTTAGATTCTACCTTAATGTTTCAGATATGGTTACAAAAATCAGATTGAAGCTTTGACTTGACATCTGTCTCCTTGAGATGTCATTGTATAAGGACAGGTGTACATAGTAGGCAATTTTTGTAGATGATCTCATATGAAACCGGAGATTAAAAAAAATAAAGTTAATTTGAATTCATCTACCCTTTCATCTGTACAAAGCGATTTATTAACATGTGGCTTATTTTCTCCAGATCGCTACAATTTCTCCAGGGATGGCATCATGTGAAAACACTCTAAATACATTGAGATATGCAAATAGGTATGGAAAATATTATTGCTTATAGCTATACTGGCTGCTGATCACTGACATTTGTTCCATGACGTATAATTATTTTAACTACTTGAATAATTTTATCGTACTCGCATTTCTTAATTAGATTAAAAGGAAATCACTGATCCAGGCTCACATTTAATTTAAATTGTCACTTTTTAGAGCCATTACAATAGAATCAATAGAAACTGCATTGAAGCCATTATCCAGAGATGGACAATGAGGATTGCAAGGAAAGTGGGAGATGCCACTATCAGTTTTGCCCCCACTCTGGAGGCACCATCTCTTACGTTAGGTGCAGTAGATATTCATGATGATTCCCTGGGGTGTTAGCTGAAACTCCTTGCTGCCAAGTGATTTTTTTTTTTTTGATCTCGTTAGTGGAATTGCATGCGGTTGCCAGTCTGTTTCATACATATATATGAAACTTTATACTTCCCACCTTCAGGCAGATACCTGAGACCCCTAAGTAATCCAACAGAGACTTTATAATCAGTGCAGAGAAATTAGCATCTCCAGAGGCTGATGCAGCACCTCTGAGACCTGTGCAGCTCTCTGAAAGTGTTCATCTCTCTCCAGCGAGTGTGAAAAGAGCCATCCCCTGCTGCAGTTCTCCTTAGTTTAACATCTGTGGAGATGGGGTGATCAGGCCCTGCGTGTCCCTCCAGTCAGACCTGCGACCCAGAGACACCGCCCCCCCACCCCCC